TGAAAGTTTATAAATAAATATTTTTATAAAATTATATAGTTTATATATTTATTGATATTAAATTCTCTTAATGTAGACATATATACATAAGCTACTCGACTAAAAGCGTTAATTTTGTTTTATTAATTGTTTATTATAAGATTTGTATGGTAAGAATAATTAGAGCTTGCTCTTACCAGTCCTTTTTGTATATACATATTATTTATTATATTTTAAAACAAAAATCAACATCCCTATATATAAACTAAATATAATACACATTAACTTATATGAATTATTGTGATATTTTTAAAGTATCATAATCCTCTCAAACATTTCGCCTTGAGTCTGTTAGGAATAGATCTTAAGATATTTTACAGGCACATACAGTTGCATTAAGATAACAAGCATACTTTGTTATTTATTTTACCACATACAAGCATTTCTCACAATCACACGCATACATATCTAGCTTTGTTATCTATAATTAAGTTACCTAATTATCATACGCGCGTATATATTATATATAGTTGATCATTATACACTGGTAGTTTATGAGTATTGAAACGTACAAATGGACTGCGGCAATCTTAGACATGCCATTAAAATTTTACTTGCAAATCAGAGCTCGCACCATTAATTATCACAATTAAATGGATCAAATTCGCAAGATATTTCTTCACTTTCCTGCATTTCTATGACAATGCTATTTTTTACGTTTTAAAATAATAATTAAGATTGGATAAAAATGTCACTAAGAATTTTATCCAATCTGCGATTCTGTCACTGTTTACAGACAGCAATCTTGTATAGCACTACATGTACCATCATGTTGTACACTGTCATATAAATATGTGTAATTTTATTTTATTTTTCTTTTACTTGCTTTGCCAAACTATGATACCAATTAAAATCGCCAATATGACTACCGCGATCACTACAAGAAAACACTTCTTCTTGCGTAGCTTAGTCTGATACATACTCGCTTGCCTTACTTGAGAAGCGCCTTCGTTAACAGATACCTCGGTTCTTTCAACTGATGCTTCTATAGAATCAATCACCTCTCCTTGATCATATACCAAAGCTCCAAGATCTTTGAATATTTGATTAATATCGCTAATATTACTCTGCAAAACGATTAACATATATACATATAAATGTATTCCCATATAAGTCTTTTTAACAATCTTGAAAGCACTTACCTCCAATTGTCTTATACTAGCTTCCTGTTCCTCTAACATTCGTAAATTCATCTGTTCTTGCATCTGTTCCTGCTGCTGTTTTGCATGATCACTTCCATATGTTCTACTGTCTTGCAACTCAATAAGAGTATCCTGTTTCTTTTCTCCAAATGGCGCAATACCTGCACTAGCTTTAGCCTTCCTGACCATTTCTTTTTCCTTAGAAGCAGCTAGCCTTTGTACAGCCTAGATTTATAAACATATAATACAGCTTAGATTTATGAACATGTAAATTATCAAAATATAGTAATATATATCAAAATATATTGATATTTACTTGAAAAGAATTCAATGCAGTGGTAAATTCATCTTGAAGGCGTTCCCTCTGCATTTTTCGCTGTCTTTGTTCTCCAGGGCTCGTAGAGCCAGAGTTATTCGCTAATATAGCCAAATCTCGAAGATGAACGCTAGTATCCTTCGCCAGTTGTTGTGTGTAGTGCTGTATTTGATGCCTGCAAAACAATAATTTCTCATTTCCGTTTATTTGGATATATTAAGATTTAATTTAGGTTCTTCCTAATTTTGTATGTAACTTTAATCTCAATTCAACTCACTTTTTTTTTAATTTTTAGAACTGGAAAATAATGAAGAGTTAGCGATTAAATCAGTGCCAATTTTACCATTTCTGGTTAGCTTAATTAGTCAATTATGTGTTAATTATGATGTCAATTCTGCTTAACCGCAAATGCTATGAGGCCCGATTCCGCCATGAATCGATTTCGTCATCAATTTAAAATTAAGACTTAGAAAAAGATAAATAGTAAGTTAAATTAAAATTAAAGTTAATCTTATATTTTTCTTAGAATTATCTTTTTTAAAATTAAAAAGATAAAGAATAAATTGAACAAAGAAGTTAACAGTAATGGAACCCCTAGATTAGTAAATTCCAATGGAATAATGGACAGATCAAGTTGATCTGAAATTGTGAATCCATCCTAAATTAGCAACTAAAGAAGCAAAACTGAATTAAATCTTGTTATGTCTGTTTCTTAACTTAAATTAAATTAACTTTAATCAACGTAAATTAACTTTAATCTTAATTCAACTCACTCATCTTTTTCTAATTTTTCGAATTGGAAAATGATGAAAAGTTGAACTGAGATTAAACTATACGTCTGTTTTTTATTCCCTCTGAACTGATGCATGCAATAAGTTGAAATAAGACAAACGTATGTTTATTTTATTTCAATTTACTTTGTACTATGTATACCAGTTCATAGATGCAGAATAAAAAACAGAGTCTTTGACGTGGAAAAGGATATTCGTATATTTCTTATAACTTACAACTGATTCCTGAGTTCTTGAGAATCAGTAGAACTGCCCAGCTGATTGACCATTTTCTGCATGGAAGACACTATAAGCAAACATCAAAATAAGTATCTCATATTTTTTAAACTAAACTTGTTAATTGCAGAATCTACCATTTTGTGATATCTTCAATATCGAAGTGCCAATTGATTGGGATAATCTGCCAAAATCCTGTTCTCGCGCGGGACCACCGTTATGGTACGATGAAAATCCGGCATCCATCTTTGAGCTGTCAGTGATGTTATTAGCTAAATTATACAAATTCAATTATTTATACGATATTATATAGACATTTTCGTAATGCGTATATTATATTTAATACACTAAAGTTATAGTTCTTGAGTCTTTCTTTGGATCCTCGTGAATAACGTTAGATAGAACTAACCAATTATCGTAAATGTAAGTCACTCCTCGGCGTTTCTCTGCGATGAAACTAATGATGCAATACGAATAATGAGACTCGCGATCGAAAATACGTCGCATCAACAATCGCTGTTTCTTAAGCGTGCAATCCCACTCCTGTCATACGTATATACGCACTGATACGCACTTGTCAACACAGGATGACAAGTGGGTCGATCGCGCGATGAGTCACAAAGCTAGCGTAGCAACAGACTCCGTTTCTCGGTATCCCATGACATGTACGGTCGCAAGAATCGGAAAAATTCTTTGATGAGACGAATAATAAAAACTTCTTAATCGGTAACAGTCAGACAAAACGGATCTCTCGAACGAAAGTCGCGTATTGGATCGTATCACCAGTCGAATGTCGATCGTGAGATCCGCTCCGAGCGACACAAGATACAAAGTCCCGAAGTCTGACGGAAACGAAACTACCTTGGACTGCCTGAGGCATGTGACATCGTCCTTATCATCCCGTATTCAATACGAGAATTCCTCTTCTGTCATGGGTCTAGTTTCCACGGAGGGTTTAATCCGGATCAGAATATAAGAACCAACCAACTACAGTCGAGCATTCCCCTGTCGTTCGATTGTAACAGAGGAATATTCGACTATAGTTGATTGGTTATTCTCTACAATAGATGCATCAAGAAGCACGCTTGCTCACTGAGCTCTTGCATTTAATTGGTATATTCCATTAGATCTAAAAATATAGACCAAACAGATACAAGAGCTCACTGAGCGTTCAGTGAGCAGTCGTGCTTCTGGATGCATCTATTCTGGAGAGTGATTCTGTATCTTCAAACAAGATGAAAATTATAAAAGTGAGCAAATTTACTAGATGTTGATCAATGAAATTATTAGTATTCTGGTCAAAAAAATCGCTTACTTTTGTAATTTTCATCTCGTTTCAAGAATCAACCCCCTGATTCGGATTAAACCTTTGGTGAAAACTAGGCCATGGATGCATTCAGCAGATTCAACAGTTGAGTGAGCGCTCTTATTAATGTATTCTTCTAGATCTAGAATTCTGATTGGATGATCTAAAAATACATCAATAACAGCGAGCGCTCATTTAACTGTTGAGTCTGTTGAAGGCACCCATGACAGAAGAGGAATTCTCGTGAGAACGCCATTTATGTCCCATTCAGATGGACTTGCATAACCACAATGAAAAGTGATAAGAAAAAATACAAAATTCATTCAACATACAAAAGTATATTTTTTAACTTTTGCATTGTACTCATGTTAGAACTTCTCGCTTTCGTCAAAAATCAAATATATACTTATCTCTTTAAGTCCTAAAAGTGATCCCTACTGAAAAAAAATTATTGTCACAACGTTACGTGATAAAATCATATAATTAAAGCATGTAATGAAATGAATTGTTCCAAATCAATACATGATTTTTTTAATTTAAAAAAATCATATGATATTAGAAATAATTTTATCCATGTGACTTTATAATTGTCAAATTTTAAAGAACTAAATGATAGAAATAGAAAAAAAAAAGAACATATTATCATGTGATTTTTCAAATTAGATAATTAAAAAAAAAATCACGTACTGATTTGGAACAATTTGTTACATGATTTACGTGTTTTAATTACATGATTTCATCATGTAACTATGGGTGTGATCAAAATCTCGTTATAAATGCTTTTGAAGTATTTGATGGACAACCAATTAGAAAAAAGAATTTTACAAACTGATCAGTTAAAAAACGCTTCAAAGCGTTTGTAGCATCGCGTT